ACCATTTCATTTTTCAAAAAAGTAAAATCAGAGTTTTCAGGTATTGTGATGAATTAGTTCATTATGTCGTGGTCTTTCCTCTTAAATCTTCTACAAATAAGAAACAGTAACACTTTATTTTTTTTTCAAATTACCTACCATAACGAAGGCACATTATTGAGAAATTCTTCAAGATCTTGTTTTTGTCATCTTGCACCTTTTAATGAAGATGGGAACATTGAAAGGGAAATAGATTTGAACGAAGAAGTTTCGTAAAAAGTGCGAACGATAGTGTGATATAAAAATACTCATGCTAGAAATTTTCATAAAAGTGTCCCGAAAAACGATGCCAACTCGGTAACTCGTGGCCTGATGAAGTTTCATAAAGAGCGCGAACGGTAGTGTGAATGATTTTTTGACTGAGAAAATAAGCAAACAAACAAATAAACAATTTCAGTTTTAGTAGTATACAGATAGATTCTTCAAGATCTTGTTTTTTTCATCTTATGCCTTTTAATGAAGATGGGAACATTGATAGGGAAATAATATAATAGCCAATGCTTGGTGAGAGGTTTTCGTTTATAAAATTTTGTTGTTTTTCTCGACTTGATTTTTATTTTATTACCTCTATGTGGGCTATGAACACATTTTTTCTAGTTGATAAATTAAAGTATTTAATGTCTGACTCTGACAAAGCAAAATGCATCAATCATTGTATAAATATATCAACTAATTCTCCAGAGTTGAGAAATAACTAATGACTAATCTGTATTTATAAATAAAGCCAAAATCATCAATTTTTATTTCAGTCTTGCAGTAATGTAGCAAAAATGTTCAGTACATTATCACCATTGTTTATGTGGAACAGAAAAACAAAAACAAATAGAAATTACCTTCTTATTTCCAGTTAATCAAATGCAGAGAAATGTTTTCAAAATAACCACAATTTTATCAATAAGGAGAACTACAATTCAATATACATGTACCTTGATAAAGCAATGAAAAACTGTATAAAGATTTCTTATGACATCCTTTATATATATATATATTTATTGACACCAAGTAGATTTTAATAAAAAATTAACATGAATACAACTACTAGAAATTTATTTAATTTTAAAAGTGTTTAGAATTAATTATACACCAAAACATATCCAGAGTTGAACAGTACCCAGTCCAACTGCAGGAAAATTCAAAAATGGCTTGATGAATTTTATCATTTGAAGCTCTGTTGGGATTTACTGTGATAATTAATTCTAGAAACAGCATCATATTATTGTATAAAAATCAGAGAATAAAAATAATCTAAAGTAAGTTAGCAAAAACCATGTTTTGCATTATATTTTTTTAAGTTCTAAATCACAGTGATTACAACAAATTTTAAAGTTTAGTCCAAGATAACAACCATTCAAAGCAAAGTAACTATTTACCAAATGACCATGTAGCACAGCAAGATGCAGAGGGGTGTAGGATTTTTTATTTGGTCGTTCACACCCACCAACTCCAAATTTCTCCAGAGATGGATCAGAGGAATCTTCATCCTCATCTGAAACAATATTATAATGATGGTATAATAAAATACTTACATCCTGTTTAAGAACTCGCCTTAACCTTATCATGACTCTCTTTTAACAATTTCTAACTCAAAAATACTTTTATAATTATATAACATTTCAATGTAACTTACACACAAAAATGAAAAAATGTAAAAATTTGCATCTTTATGCAGCTTCAAGGAATCTTATCTATAAAGAAGACACTCCTGTTGATTTATTTCTTAGAATTTTTCTGCCAGTCCAAACTCATATAGGTAAATAGCTTCTGAGACATGTTTCGTTTTTTACATCATTTTCCTTCTCTTTTACTGACTATATTGTTTTCTTTGTTGTTAAACTCAAACATACGTAATGGGCTACCTGAACTCTGCCAACCATGGGTATCAAAGTCTGAATTTTAATGTTATAAGCCCCAAGACTTACAGCTGAGCCACCAAGAGCAATTTTGTTAGTACAGCCTCTCAGTTCTCCCTCTATTATGATTTTGCAGTATATGTTCTGAACAACTACTAATGAGACTCAGCTTTGAAAATAGCTACAAACAAATTTTAAATACCATTAGAGAGAGCAGATTATAAACTATTTATGTCAATTTAGAATGAATAAAGTGCAATGAGAACTAATTTATGGTTTTGTTGGAAATTGACAAGATATAATTGCTGTAATGAAGAACAAAGGAATCTAATGATATATTTAAAAGACTTAAGAACAAACCACAGATCTCAGAATTGTTTTCTAGTTTCTTTAGATGTTCTTTTCATTCTTCTCATTTAAATTACATTTGTTCAAAGAACTGAAAATTTTCTTCTATGATGAAACATCAGGCAAACTTAGTTTTAGCAGGTAAGGTAAGCAATGGCAAAATATTTTGTACATTCAAATCCATTTTTCTTGAATATTATTGTTTTGTTTATCATATTCAAACAGAACATACATAAAATAACTTATTATTTTGTGAAAATCAACTGTATTCATCACACATAAATTATTTAAATGATGAACATTATTAGCAAAAATATATACACTGAGTGGTCATGAGTAAATAGACACCTAATTATTCGTCATTTAACTGATTTATGCTAACTAATTTGTGTTTACAGAGCACTATATAAATGAAAATGGTCCGCACAGTAATTATCTTGTGCTACAACATGCCTAGAACTGAAGGTTCTCTCGAATTGTCAGATTTTGTTAGAGGAAGGATAGTTGGTCAAGCAAATGGTGGAATAAGTCAGCGGTAAATTTCGCA